CAATAAAAAGCATTATATTGTGTCTTCATAGCTATTTAGTATCACAAAGCTTTTAGGGTGCGTCGCGCCCATCGCGATTTCAACTTTTAATTTTGGCCGTGTCTGTGAGCATCTTCTCATTGTACAAAATAAAACAATACCAAAAAAGTTCGGGATTTCATAACATTTCTTTGCGCATTTTTTTTTAATTTTACAAAAATCAAAACATTTTGGATAACATTTTTTGTAATTTTGAGCATCCATAAACCTTACCTGGGGTCATATGAGGCCCAACAAAAAATTTCGACACGTTCGGTTCAGCCGTTTTGACGTTTAATGGATAAAAACGGACAGCCAATCAGACAGACAGACAAGCAAAGCATATTCATTGATGCCTGTATACAAAAAAATGTTCTGTGTCAAATACACACTATTAGAAAAACACAAACATTTGTATTCGTAATATCCAACAAACCGAAAAGATTCGGGATTTAAAATTTTGAGAGACATCACAAACATTCAGTTAAAAATTTCGAAATGTTTTAGATATTCTGATATTAGGAACAAAATATTAGGTGTTTTCTATTTTTTTCTGAAACAAATGTAGTGACTAAACAGAACTTGTAAGTGTTGTTTACAGATTTGTTTTGAAGTATGTTTAAAAATATAAACAAACCTGTTGTTTATGACAACTGATACTATGTAACCCTTGCCCCCATCAACATATACAGCAGGGATATATTCGAAACCTTCCCTCTACCCTTCTCTTACCTACCCTTACCTCATCTTTCCAACCCTTAATTCGGGACGATTCCCCCTCTGTCCTTCTATTCGTGACAGGTTCCTTCTTCCTCCCCCTTTCCTTCTATTCGGGTCAGTTTTCCTTCCCCCCTGTCTTTCTATTTAGGACAGATTTTTCATGTAACATGTTAACCGATATTGACTTCTATAAATCGAAACTTCGACACAGTACTACGATACGCTCCAACTTCGAGGAAAAAAGTCCAAGAATAGGTGCGACGGCGGACCAGTAAACAGGAAATTAGGAAGCTTTGTATCCAGGAAAACAAGATCCTAGAAAACCAGTAAACCATGGGACCAGGAAACTTGAAAACTAGGAGTCCAGGAAACAAAGGAAAAAAATGAAACTGTGAAGACCAGGAAACAAGGAAACCAGAAAATCAAGAGACCAAGGAATCAGGAAAACAGGAAACCAGGAAGTCAAGAAATCAGGAGGCCAGGAAACCAGGAGACTTGAAAAACAGGAAACTATGAAACCAAGAGATCGGAAAACAAGGATACCAGGAAACGAAGAGACCAAGAAACCAGAAGACACAAAAATGGGGAAACGTGAATCCCGGTAAACTTGAAAACCTGGAAACAAAAAAAGGTAACAAGGAAGCCAGGAAACCAAGAAACCAGGAAACCAGGAACCATTAATCCAGGAAACCATGAAACCAAGAAATCAAGAAACCGTGAAATGAAAAAACCGAGACCAGGAAAAACAGGAGACCGTAAAACCAGGAAAAATATGATGTATATATTCATTTTGCAGGTCTGTGTGAGTTCCTGAGTTAGAGTGTTAAATATAATATTAATGCTTGAAAAATACAGTTTCTGCTCCAGTTGAAGAAAAACGTATATTTCAAATAATATTCTATGTTTCCGGAAACCTAAAACCTTCCTGGGTAAAATCCAAGATTTAGCTGAAAACCTGACCTCAGGCTAAACTTGTTACTAGAGCTGAACCAAACCTGAACTCCCAGATGTAAGTATGCTCCGTGAGTAAATCCGTCCCGACGAAAGTAAAAAAGTATTTTTTTGGTCTACTTTCCCATTCGCTTAAAATCTATTAAATCAAAGCTATTACAGCAGTTCTGCATAATTAACTTAAAATTCATCAAATTAATTTTCCAATTGAAATTTAACCTTATTTACATGCGTTTTATAAGGTACAACATATATAATTATGTTAGCATAATTATACTTTTATATAATATATTTTTCAGTAAAGAACACGTAATTAAGTTTGTAAGCGGCAAGTATTTTTGAGAATTTCATGTTATCATCCTTTTCTTAAATGTCAATATTTTGGATATTTTTCCCGTGTTGACAAACCTACTTGTCAACTGTGAACAAATATGGTTCGTTTAACAAGTTACAGGGTGTCCCAAAAAACATGGGAATTCAGTGACGAATTCGATATCGTCTTTTCAAATAATTCTTTGATTTAGTATAGTGATACCTACTGAGAAAGCTGTAATCTGTAAGAGTTTCGTCTGCTATGTTTACATTTTGTTTGTTTATGTTTTGACTGCAACCGGTTGTACTTAGTAAAACAAGAAAATTACAGTATACA